TGTTGGATTCAGGTTTCTAATCCGTTTTCCTATCCACTTCTGTTTTATGAGTAAACTCAACTCATTCACATTCATAGTTATGATTACTGTGTATTTATCTTCATCCTATTTTCTTATGTTTATCCTTATCTCTCTTTTTTTATTCTGTTCTCAAAAGTCTGTTTTGCTTCTCACCATTGCTTCCCTTAATATACTCTCCCTTTTATCACCCCTCTATATTTCTTTCCCTCTTATTTCTCTAATGAGTGAGATTTCTATACCCAACTGAGTATGTATCTTCCTTCTTTGAATGAATTCTGATGAGAGAGGTTCAAGCATTGCCCAACCCCCTATCATGCCTCTTTTATGTGAGAAAAATTTCTCCATTCTACCTCTCTCTCCCCTCTTCTTTCAGTGCATCCCTCTTTCTCGCTCTTTTATTTTTTAAAAAAATCATCCCAACACTCACATTTATGCCCTCTGTCTATGTAGACTCCTTCTAACTGCCCTAATAATGATACAGTTCTTAGGAGTTACATTTATCATCTTCTCATCTAGGAATGTAAACAGTTTAACTTTATTGATTACTCTTTCATATTTACCTGTCTTGAGTCTTCTATTTGAATGTCAAACTTTCTATTCAACTCTGATATTTTCATTAGCAGTGCTGGAAAGTCTATCTATTCACCCTCCCCCCCCCAAAAAAAAGGATTATACTCAGTTTTTCTGGATAGATCATTCTTGATTGTAATACTAGCTCCTTTGCCTTCTGGAATATCATATGCCAAGCCCTCCACTCATATAACATGGAAGCTGCTAAATCTTGTGTGATCTTGACTGTGGTTCCATAATATTTGAATTGTTTCTTTCTAACTCTTTGTAATATTTTCTTTTTGACCTGGGAGCTCCAGAATTTGGCTGTAATATTCCTGGGAGTTTTTGTTTTGGGATCTCTTTCAGGAGGTGATTGGTAGATTCTTTCAATTTCTATTTTCACTCTGGATCTAAAACACAAGGGCAATTTTCTTTTATAATTTCTTAAAATATAATGTCTAAGCTCTTTTTGATCATTTTCAGGTAGTCCAGTGAGTCTTAAATTATCTCTCTACTTTCCAGATCAGTTGTTTTTCTAATTAGGTGTTTCAGATTTTATTCTATTTTTAAAAATGTGTTTTATTGTTTTTTGATACCTCATGGAGTCATTAATTCCCAGGTACCTGATTCTACTTTTAAAGAAATTATTTTCTTTAGTAAGCTTTTCTACTTCTTTTTCCATCTGGCCAATTTTACTTTTAAAGGGCTTATTTTCTTCAGTATTTTTTGGTGCCTCTTTTATCAAATTGTTCATTTTTTCATAATTTTCTTGCACAACTGTCATTTCCTTTCCCAATTTTTCCTCTACCACTCTTATGCCTTTCTTTAACTCTTCCAGGAATTCTTGTGGGGCTTAGGTCCAATTAGCATTTCTCTTTGAGGCTTTGGTTGTAGCTATTTTTATATTGCTGTCTCCTTCTGAGTTTGTCTTGGTCTTTCCTGTCACCATAGCAGCCTTTTATGGTTGTGGTTTTTTTCTTTTTCTTTTTTTTTTTTTTTGCTATTTGCTCATTTTTTCCAATATATTTATTGGCTTTGAACTTTATGTTAAAGTTGGGCTTTGCCCACTGGGGGGTTGGGAGCATTCTCCCAAGTTTCAGGATTTTTCATGCTACTGTTTTCAGAGCTAGTTCTGGGGAGTTGCAAGTTTTCATTGGTTTCAAGGTAGTGTGATGTGGGGAGAGGCAGAATCACTGTTCTCCTGGTTTGTACTCTGGTCTTTACCCAGGAAGGGGACTAATCCCCTTTGGCTGCAAGCACTAGCACACCTCTCTGTCCTGGAACTGAGACCCAGAACTGAATATGGGGAATAGAGCTGCCAATCAGCACTAGCTGCACCCAGTGCCAGTAAAGGGTCACCTGTGATCTTTTTCTGAGATGTTTTTTGACCCCTCCCTGTCTCTGGACTGAGAGCTCCCAAAGGTGCTGCCACTGCTGCTATTGCTACCACCACACATGTGTAGTCCAGACTGGCTTCCACCCCAGTGTCACAAACCTCTCCTGTTGACCTCCTAGGTTCTCTTACATTAGCAAAATGTCTCACTCTGACCTGTTGTTGCCTGTGCTGCTCCAAAATTTTATTTGAGGCATTATTTTAAAGTTGTTTGGAGGAAAATGTTGGGAGAGTTTGGCTGGGTTGCTGCCTCTACTCCACCATCTTGGCTCTGCCTCCCAAGTAGTTACTCTTTCAATAGAACCATACTATTATATAAAGTTAATAGTTTCTATTTATATAATACTATTTGGTTGCGAAGTGTTTTGTGCATATTATCTTATTTGACTTGTACTCCAATCCTATGAGATGGTATTAGTCTCATTTTACATATGAGGACACTGAGGCTAATAGAATTTAGATGATTTGCTCAAAGTTACATAGGCAAAATATGGTAGAACTAAAACCCAGTGCTTCTGCTTCTAAATTCAGTGCCCTTTCCATAACAGCAGCCCATGTTGATGTGCCACCTTGCCCTGAAGAGCCACATGGACCTTATCCATACTACATCTTGGTGAGGTTATGTAGGTGGTATGTATTAAAATGATGATAGGAAAGGAAAAGCAATTATAGATGTATCAGTTGAGATATTTGTTTAGGATGAGTGGCCAGAATCTCATTTTATTGGAAGAAGACATAGAGGGGGTAGATATAAACTTGGAGAAAAGAAAAGTCTTTATAATAATTAGAGCTATCTCAAAGTAGAATGGTCTAATTCACATGGTGAGTAAGTTCCTTACTTCTCCACACTTAGCAGAGGATGGATGACCATTTGTTGGGTATGTGATAGAGGAGTTTCTTGGTCAAGTGTGTGTTAGACTAGATGGTCATATATAGAGATCATTTCCATCTCAATGATTTCATGATTCTTTGGTTCTGTGAAAGTGATAACATATGTTCTTATGGTTCCTTTCCATCTTTCAAACTATAATTGGTGATTCCATGATCCTATTTTTGGAATGTAGGAAGTACCGCTGTCAGCAGTCACAATTCATCAGGGGAATCCTGGACTCTTCCTGGAAATTTTATTGTGTGACTATGTAATCTTTTCAGTGTTGTTTTTTTCCTTTTTTTTTTTATACCTGGTATTCCCTATGTAGAACAATTTTACATTTTTTTAAATTTAAAAAATTTGTCATAATTTTAGGGGTGCATTGGAGCCAGTTCGAACCAGCTCTTGAGATTTATTGTTCAGTCATTTCAGTTCTGATCAACTCTTTGTGACCCCATTTTGGGTTTTCTTGGCAAAGATACTGGAGTGGTTTGCCATTTCCTTCTCCAGCTCATTTCACAGATGAGGAAACCAAGGCAAACAGAGTTGAGTGACTTGCCCACAGTCACACAACTCCTAACTGAGGATGGATTTGAACTCAGGTCTTCCTGACTCTAGACCCTGTGCTCTCTCTACTGTGCCACCTAGCTGGCCCTGTGAGCTAATTATTGAAGTTTGAGTGTGAGCATTTATACCTTGGAAACCCATGTATTTCAGAGACCTGATTGTTATATATCTACCAGCACAATTTTGTACATTCCTTGAGTGTAAGCAGGTGCAGTTTAATGTAATGAGAAAATACTATCTTTGGAGTTAAATGACCTGGGTTTATATCCCAGCTCTTCTACTGTCTGACTTTTGACCAATTATTTTTCCCTATATGAGCCTCTCTTTCTTTATTTGCAAAATGAGGGTCTTGGACTAATGAAAGTTCCTACAGTACTAAATCCTATGATCCTTTTCATATACAGACAACTACAGCTGCAGAGCATTTGTTCTGTTAATCCCTTCAGCCTCCCACCCAGAACCCCCCACCCTTGCTTTGAAGGCACCCTGCATACTCTTTCCTCTTTATTGAATGTTACACACCACTTTTGTTATTTTTACTGAACCATCTCTATTAACTGCCAAGGCTGTTTTTCTCAAGAGGCTAAGTACACAAAGGTTTTTTTTTTTAATATCTGCCCCTACTCCAGTAATTTCTCTCCTACTACAGTGCTCCCCAAAGCACCCACACACATTTCATTCTTTAAAGTTCTGTGAGTTCTTAGACTCTCCACTTTTCATGTTGTCATCGAGGCTGGGTCTCAGAATGGGATCTCGATTCATGTGCTTTGGGGTTCTTAAGCAACCAAAAAATACAAACCTGGAATTTGTCATTATCCATTTGGCTTCTGGTCCATCAACTCCAGTAGCCTTCCCCCAGGAGTGGTGAATCTCTGATTCTTCAGAAGATATTCTTTTCTTCATAATGTATTGGGTTAATTGAAAAATGCTGTGTGCTGGCTGAAAAAAAACCCAAAAAAACAAAAACCAATCCTTCCGCATTTGGAAAGCAACCAACACAGCCAGATGGAAGGCAACATAATGTAGTGAGTGGAGAATTGGACAGGAAATCAGAGTGCTTGAATTCCAACCAATGACTTGCTCTATGATTTGGGACAAGCAATCTCTATAAGCCTTAGTTTATATCTCTGTATAATGGGAATAACAATGCCTGAACTACTTCTCATTTGAGGATATAACGAAGGTGCAGGAGACAAAAGGGCTGTTCCCCATACTCGAAAAAGGAGCCAGTGACTTACTTTTGGCAGCATTCCTGACTGCTAATGAAAAGACACCCACCCTTTTGGGCCTATCAAAAATATTACTTCCTCCATGGCCATTCTCTGTGATGCTGTCCCTGATCTTCCTAGTTGGGAGTAATCTGTTTCTCCTCAGAAATCTTGCAGTCTCTGGTTCACATCTCTCTTAGATCCTTACGTTTCATTTTGCATTATGTTTATTTGTATTTGTGTATTGCTTTTCCTACTGGATTGTAAACACTGTGAGGGCAGTAACCATATCTTACTCATCTTTGTATTTTCTCCAGTATCTAACACAATGCCTTATACATAATAGGCACTTAATATTTAGTGAATAAATGTAATTTATTGGCTGGTTCTTGAAAGACCCCATTATACTCTCAAAGGGAGCTGCTGCTTCTTTTTCAGTGCATGGATCAGGGCTGAGAGCTTTAAATGCCTCTGAGTAACATTTTGTAGGTGTTGCTATAAGACACTCTGCCCAGAAAATACAAGTGACATCGTTCTGTGGGCTTGGCTGTCCATTGACTTGGACTTGTCATCAATCTATTTTCCAGCAGGGAACAAGACAAAATGCTGAAAAAACAGGAGAAAATCATATGAGAAAGTTAGCTAAACTAGGGCTAAGAATACTATATAACTATGCATTTCTATGGCAACTCAGTGTAGAGAGAAAAACTCTGGGGAAGAATTATGCTTCAGGCCTAGTCCTGCAGGCCAGTGGAAGGAGAGTTGGCCCAACCTCTGTTCTCAGACCAGGTGACTGTTATGACCATTCAAAAAGGTATTATGGACTGGCAGGAAGCCCTCCCCTCCTCCAAGGTATGAGAAGAAAGGCTCCATCTGAGCCATTCATGAGAAACTGGAGCAACACAGAATACACCCAGACTGCCAAGTAGCCTATCAGCTCCACTGAAGGCTGTGAAGTAGAAAGAAATCAGGAGATTAATGACTTGCAGAAAGATGTTAACTTTTTTTGCTGGAAAACACAGGAAATTTGGAGGATTGTAGCTGATGCTCCAATATCAGAATTATGTGCTTGGAGTGGTTAATAAGGATCAGTTTCTATAGAATCTCTCCCTCAAAATGTGAAAACAGTCCGATTCTAAACTATAGTAAATAGACTTGTGAAAGACAATCCTATATCAAAAATAACCTTTACAAAAGATAGCACAGGGGAAAATAGGAGAAAATATTATTTTCAAATATCCCTAAATCAATAGGATGCTCTATAGAAGGCAGATGTGGAATCACTACCCTGGAAAATAGAGTAGATTATTTCCTTTTTGCAAAGACTTAGATCCAATACTGATTAAGTTCAGAGGCATATAATAAATTATATATCTGAGCCCTTAAAATATTTCTGTAATATCCTGAGATAAGTCAAAGTGTAATGACATTTGCTCTAATCAATGAGAAATGGACACTGATTTCTTTGTCTGTACATATAATTGGAGAGTCTCCATGAATGCCTTGAACTTAGGAGTTTGGCCAGAGTAAACCTGTACTTGGAAATAGTGACCTCCCTCACAAGAAATTGCCACTCCAGAAGTGTTAAGAGTGACTTAGCTTCAATGTGTGTGGCTCTTTCATGCTTCCATGGCAAAAGGACCTAGGAGGTAAAAACTGACCCTCCTAACCAGGCCATTTGGTTGTGGTTCTAAAGTGAATGTTGTTGGTGAATTCATCCTTGTTCTTCATTGTAGACTTGCCATGTTTTTCTATTTCATAATCTGGATGGATTTCTTAAAAATTATTTCATATTTACCCTGGGTATAGCTTGTTTGTGTATGTTTGTTTACTTGTGATTTCCCCCATTACATTGGGAGCTCCTTGAGGGCAAGGATTATCTTTTGCCTCTATTTATTTATATCCCCAGTGCTTAGCAAGGTGCCTGGCACATAGAAGGCTCTTAATAAGTATTTATTGACTATTTGGATCAGAGTAGATGCATTGTTCAAAATTAACAAAATAATTGTAAATGAATTTGATGGCTAGAGACAAAAAGGTAAAAAGTAAAATGTTAAGCACAAAAGAAAAGGACCTAGATAAATGGAAAATCAATGCCCTCTTTGACTCTTTTATTGAAACAAGGGGTTGGGAAGATTCTTTGGTTTCTCTCTTAGACATCTTTTTATACTTATTTAAAATTTTGCTAGACAGCTGTATTTCCTTAACTTTAATACTCACAGACAACCAACAAAAATGTATGTATGTATGTATGTTACAATTCACTGCTAAAATGAGTAAAATCGGACTCTAGCTCCTCTTTCAAAGCATATATGAATGAAATCTCATTATACATCATTGAGTCATTAGTCCAAATGAAAAAGTTGAATTGGATCTTGGCTATCTTTAAAGATACCTACCTAACAGTGTTAATTATCCATCTATTTTTTCTTATATTTTGTGAGGCAGTGTGGCATATCAGCAAGAGCTCTGGACTTGAAGTTAGGAATATTGGGGTTGAGGTCCTGCCTCTGATGCAAAAGATCTATATAACCCTGGGTATGTCACTAAATCTGTCAATGTCCCAAATAACTCTTTAACACTACAAATGATAACAAATTTGCCAATCCTCATCATCACAGAGAGTTTTTTTCTCTGGAAGTTCTACCATACTGAAGAAATCACAAGGCTAGATTAACCCACCCCCACGCCATCAAAAAAATTCTCCAATAGTTTGTGAACATAGGCTACTTTGAAGAACATAATAATGTTAAAATGTACACGCAGTGTGTAACTAACATTAAAGGCAGGGCCCCCCTTATAGTGGCCCTGTTGCTAGCATCTGAATGCTTACTTTGGGAATTAATGAGTAGCCACGTTGTTACTGAACACATTTAAACTGCTGAACCGATTCCAGTCCCAGAAGAGACCTCAATCACATTTAAATGTCTGCAGAACAATTAAGAGATCTAATCCAATCTCCGGAGATGGCCCAAATAATAAAGCATTATGGCAGACTTGGGTATTGGATTTTATATTGCCTTTGTGCCATATTGGTCACTTTTTATTGATAACACTTCGATTATTCAAGTTACATATAAATGAAAGGATGATCTAATGCTTATGGGGCTCCTAGTATGCCAGAGATTAGGTGCTTTTTGAAGAAAATGAAACATTCCATATGAGACAAGTTGAAGATATTTTTCTTTTAAAGGACCTGTGATTTTATTGTTATAGGGAGCTTCTGACTGGGAAATCTCTCCATCAAGAAAGATTGCCACTTTCTCTGCAAATTAGTCTCAGAGAGTTGCCTGGGGGGCAATGAGAGATTGTGATTTTTCTCAGGGGTCACACAACTAGCACAAGTCAGAGATAAAATCTGAACCCAGGTCTTTTTGACTCAAGCCTGTTCTCTATCTACTGTAGTGTGCTTCCTCTGTCTTTCATTTACTCCTGAAAAAAAAAAAGAAATGAACGTTTAGTGAACTGTGTTCTAATTTAGCTTTATCACTCCTTTTCTTACTTGGTCATCATAGGCATGTTGGAGATGAGTTTGGGATGAGAGAAAGTGGATCAGTACCAAATAAGTGAGAAGTTGTAGAAGTATGGAGTCTTGGGATTGGAGTCAACTTCAAAGGTGGCTCCAAGCATTATGGAAGCATTAATTTCACTTATGGCATCTCTGAGAGATGACCGATCATCTTGGGTTCAAATCCTGGCTTTGCCACTTACTAGCTAGGTGATCTTGAGCAAGTTATTCAACTTCTCTGGGCCTTAGCTTGCTGTCTATAAAATGAGGGGGTTGGATTAGATTACTTCTGAAGTCCCTTCCATTTTCATATGCAACATATCTACGTTTTCTTGAGTAGTTCTCTTAGAACTCTCTGAGTTATACTGGACAGAGTGCTCGAACCTGGGTTCATGTCCCATATCAGATATTTGCTAGGTGTGTTACCCTGGGACTTAACTTCTCTTAATTAATTAATGTAACCCTTAAATTGTCTCAGCTGATTTCCTCATCTGTAAAATGGGAATAATAATAATGCCTACTTTACAGGGTTATTGTAATGATCATATGAAATAATACATGTAACACACTTCACAAATTTTAAAGCATTATATGAATATATTATCATCATTATCATTATTATTAATTATCATCTTTGCTATGCTCATCACCATGGCAACCTCCTGACCTAGACATTTGTAGAACATAGACAATATATGGATATTAGTTTTCTTTTCTTAAATGATGAGCTGAAATTATGCCTATCTGAGAAAGATCCATTCAAAACAACCATTATAATTTTGAAAAAGAACTGCTACTAAGAAAAATTTCTAATTACCTCTCACTTGACATCGTCATCACCATCACCATCATCTTCATCATCATTCCACATGCAGCCATTGGAAAGTCTTAGTGAGCCATGCAGTTTTAAAGAATTTGAAACAGCTGTGGGTCAGAACCCTTCCGACCATTCATTATCTGTGAAAGGATGTTCTGATGCTCTTCATCTTAGCCTAATATCTCTTCATGTCCTAAATCCAATGTCTCATTTGGCATGGAGATGACGTTGGCATCTGGAAGCTGGTGCCAGTAGACCACAAGCTTCGAGAAGTCCTACCATGCTGGAAGGGCTTCAAGTACAGGCCTGGTGACAGATTGTATGTCTGTCATCAGCACCCTGTACCATCTGAGTTCAGTTTGGGAAGCTTGGCCACAAAGTATTGATTTTTTTTCTTTCAGTCATAGCAGCTCAAGAAAATCATTCAGTAAAGTGGGGGCATCTAATCTGCCTCCATGGTGGGAGAATCCAAAACTCAGAAATTATGAGTCCTTGAAGCACTGAAGTTTGAAGAATGAAAGACTTTAACATGGTCATCAGTTAGAAAGTCAATAAACATTTATTAAATAAATACCTAGTGTGTTCCAGGCACCATGATAATTACTGGGATGCAAAGAAAGGCAAAAGACAGTGCCGGCTCTCAATATCTCACACTCTAATGTAGGGAGACAACACGCAAACAACTATGTGCTAGTTTTTCAGTGCTTTGGATCTAAGCCTCAGGCTGGTCTTTAGTAACTAATGTTATCTTTCTGTTCTTTATATTCCAAGTTAAAAAAACAGACCACACAAATGAGAATATATGAAATGAGAATACGTGAAAGCTTGGGGTAAAAGTATCCCTTGGTGAATGGACAAGTTCCCAAATTATTATTAGTCCCTCATGGACATTTAGAAGGTTTTTATTGAATTTTGCTTTGAAAATGAATATAGGGGATAGCTTTCTGTGTTGTGGTTATCAGCTGGTACAAGTGCGTGACATTCTGTCCCTGAATTAATCCATGCAATATCATCCCTTGATTCTCTGGAAAGCTTGACCAAAAATTATTTGAAACAACAAAAGGGGGAACCACCCACACATTATGTGTAATGTCAGCCAAGTATGTTGCTGAAAATTAGTTTTCCAATTTCTCATTGAAGCTATTTCAACTTTATTTGAAAAGAAGTTATTTAGATCTGTAGAAAGTTGGAGACAGATTAGTGACTTCATAATCTTTTAAGTTAAAGAATCAGTCTGTTACTGCACACTGGTAATTGATTGGATAGGGGATAGACACTACC